TTTCGTTATAGTCATGTAATTACTTATACTGATGCATAAATGAGGAAAACAAAGACATGGTGTCATGTCGATGTGGGTGTATGGGGATGGACCGACGACTCACTGTCCGGCTTAAAGTTGCGTGTTGGTAGCCTGCCTCACTGCCTTGGGTGTAGGGGCTGCAGAGGTGCGCTGTGATGCTGTGGTGTCGTGCGGACTTCAGATTGGGGTTTGGGGGAGTGCAGTGCTCCCATTCCATATCTTGCATGGGTTTATACGTCGTATCCGCCGCCTCGCGGTAGAGTAGGTGGTCATGGTTCAAGGGGCTGCACACTGTTTTCCATCCATCTCTGTCTGTCACTGGGCAAGCTGTGCTTGGATCCTAAACAGAAGGTCTTAGTTAATTATTTAGTCACGAAGCCATGATGGAACCACCTTTCTTCGCGTCTCTCGGTTGGCACTCCTTAGTCTATAGGGGATGTCAGTGCCCAAATGTTGACCTGCGTGGCATTGGAACGATTGGAGTAGTGTTGAGTAGTTTAGAGTGGCATGGGTTGCCATAGCTTGGCTCATCATAACGCTTCTTATCGGAACATGACATAGCGCAGCGTAGGAAAGATCCGCTGCAGCACATGCAAACTCTGTCATAGGACAGCCGACGACTACTGTTCCACCGTTCAATCATGTGAGCAAACCCGAGAACCACAACAGTGTACAGCGTCATGCCTTTACTGCTTTCACCCACCTGCTGGTACCTTACCAGAACATCACACTTCGCCAGGCCCCAGTATCACCATCGGGAACGACAGCAATGCCAATCATGCCACCACCGATTCGACACAACAACAGATCGCTGCCAATTCACTCAGTCAATTGCCCTTTCTCCCTCCCATTGCTACCGCTCCCCCCACTCCTCACCGCCACGCGAACGTCGGCACGCCGACTTGACGCCTAACAGGCGCACAGACACGCGTAAGGGCGAAGACCCAAGTACGTCAAAAGCGTTTACCGATGCGAGAGCGGGTTGGCAGGGCCACATCAGAAGTCAGCTGACAAACGGCTAGCACCTACCCATCCACTCACCCACCCTCGCACCTGAAGCGCACACAGCCAGGCACCGGTGTGGTGTTAGCTCCTAACTCTCCCTCAACTACCCTACGCCGCCTCGTCTCCCTCGCTGGTGGAACAAGCAAAGACGAACACAATCTGTAATGTGGTGGTGAAAGTGGCCCTGAACAGGGCCGTTGGAGCGTTCATACAACATCCACACGATCTCGCCAACCGTCTGCCCACCGACTAGGACGCTATCTAGCCGCCAAAGCCGTAGAGGGTACGACCCTGGCGTTTAAGAGCATAGACCACGTCCATAGCAGTAACGGTCTTGCGCTTCGCGTGCTCAGTGTACGTGACAGCGTCGCGAATGACATTCTCCAGGAAAACCTTGAGCACGCCACGGGTCTCCTCGTAGATGAGCCCGGAGATGCGTTTCACGCCACCACGACGTGCCAGACGCCGGATGGCGGGCTTCGTGATACCCTGGATGTTATCACGCAACACCTTCCTGTGACGCTTGGCGCCTCCTTTTCCCAGACCCTTTCCACCTTTGCCACGACCAGACATTGTCTAACCAAAATGATCAAAAGCCCAAGCCAGAGGCTACGACGAGTAAGCAAGACGCACAACAGAAACCGCGCTCCGCTAACGAAGGGACACGTCCGCGGCTGCTGCTATTTGTACAATGTGTGTACCGACGCTGCCCTTGTGTTAGCCAATCAACACGTCACGTCGCTTTACTCCAACAATTTATTCTACGTCTTAATTTCATTATTTCTACACACATCAATTAATTTATGAACGGTTCCACTTTTAATAAGGTTTTATTTCAATTAATATTTTTGCCTTTAATGGGCATTACACGCATGCACACTAAAACTTGTTTATTTTGTGTATTATATAATAACAAATATAAGTGAATGAATAGACGATACAGGCAATTAATATAAAAGAATAGATGTATGATAAAAAATCAAAAGAAAACATAGCAAAAAGCTACTAATAAATATGCCAATGTTACACAAATCGATAAGGCTATCTGCTCAGCATATTTATTTGCCATCTACCTAAATGGCAGAGAGACTAATCAAAGTGGTGGTAGGCGCGTCGACCTGTGGGTGATTGGGTTAGTGTGCGACTGTGACTGGCAAAGCAGGAAATATTTTGGATGAAATGGTACAGCACCCTTCGTACAAATAATTTACGCGCAAGCCAGATGCTATTGTCAGTACGAGAAAGGCGGAGTGGTAGAGCAATAGCAGGGTAGGATAGCAATAGCGAACTAATGAATTGTGCGAAGTGGTCGGACTTCTCCGTAGCCAATAGGAAGTGTGCCTCAGTGGGACAAGTGGTGGTTATAGGTATGCCGAACATATATATTCAAGCCGAGTAATACGCTTTATCTTTCGTCATCAGGGAAGTCTCGCGATCCCACATTGGTGTTAAAGGAACGCGATTTCGATCCCAGAGAACATCTGTCCTGATTATTACTGCTTCGTGATAAAACTTAGCGGAGCGGAAGAAGTACCCATGCCACGGATGGGAGAATGCTGACCACAAACAGAAGTGCTGAATTTGATGTCTACCTTTGGCATCTACTCCAGTGCCGTGTTCTGTAGGAAAGGTATTAACAACCAAAGCGACAATAAGGGAGAATCATCTGGTAGTTTTGTTACAGGCTTCTCCCGCTGGGAGGCGGCCCTCGGGCTATTCCGGTAGCAAAAATACCTTCTCCGTGCCGAATGTTACATTCACTCCGAATACCATGTCTTCTTTCGTCTTGAGGGAAGTCCCAGGATGCTACATATGTGGTGATATGAGGCTTGAATGGGTAGCGGATGAATACACAGTAAAAAAGGATTTGCCGGTTGTATGGTCTTGAGGGAAAAAGTTTTCGCAACAGTTTTTGTGACTAATATGGCTACTATTCCTAATTAACTGCCTTTTGTTTCAAGATATTTGCATTTGCGATTATGCATCACAGTAGACAAATAAATAACCTACAAATGCCTTTCTTTTCCATATTTATTACACGGCTATAACGAAGGCCTGCCTCACTGCCTTGGGTGTAGGGGCTGCAGAGGTGCGCTGTGATGCTGTGGTGTCGTGCGGACTTCAGATTGGGGTTTGGGGGAGTGCAGTGCTCCCATTCCATATCTTGCATGGGTTTATACGTCGTATCCGCCGCCTCGCGGTAGAGTAGGTGGTCATGGTTCAAGGGGCTGCACACTGTTTTCCATCCATCTCTGTCTGTCACTGGGCAAGCTGTGCTTGGATCCTAAACAGAAGGTCTTAGTTAATTATTTAGTCACGAAGCCATGATGGAACCACCTTTCTTCGCGTCTCTCGGTTGGCACTCCTTAGTCTATAGGGGATGTCAGTGCCCAAATGTTGACCTGCGTGGCATTGGAACGATTGGAGTAGTGTTGAGTAGTTTAGAGTGGCATGGGTTGCCATAGCTTGGCTCATCATAACGCTTCTTATCGGAACATGACATAGCGCAGCGTAGGAAAGATCCGCTGCAGCACATGCAAACTCTGTCATAGGACAGCCGACGACTACTGTTCCACCGTTCAATCATGTGAGCAAACCCGAGAACCACAACAGTGTACAGCGTCATGCCTTTACTGCTTTCACCCACCTGCTGGTACCTTACCAGAACATCACACTTCGCCAGGCCCCAGTATCACCATCGGGAACGACAGCAATGCCAATCATGCCACCACCGATTCGACACAACAACAGATCGCTGCCAATTCACTCAGTCAATTGCCCTTTCTCCCTCCCATTGCTACCGCTCCCCCCACTCCTCACCGCCACGCGAACGTCGGCACGCCGACTTGACGCCTAACAGGCGCACAGACACGCGTAAGGGCGAAGACCCAAGTACGTCAAAAGCGTTTACCGATGCGAGAGCGGGTTGGCAGGGCCACATCAGAAGTCAGCTGACAAACGGCTAGCACCTACCCATCCACTCACCCACCCTCGCACCTGAAGCGCACACAGCCAGGCACCGGTGTGGTGTTAGCTCCTAACTCTCCCTCAACTACCCTACGCCGCCTCGTCTCCCTCGCTGGTGGAACAAGCAAAGACGAACACAATCTGTAATGTGGTGGTGAAAGTGGCCCTGAACAGGGCCGTTGGAGCGTTCATACAACATCCACACGATCTCGCCAACCGTCTGCCCACCGACTAGGACGCTATCTAGCCGCCAAAGCCGTAGAGGGTACGACCCTGGCGTTTAAGAGCATAGACCACGTCCATAGCAGTAACGGTCTTGCGCTTCGCGTGCTCAGTGTACGTGACAGCGTCGCGAATGACATTCTCCAGGAAAACCTTGAGCACGCCACGGGTCTCCTCGTAGATGAGCCCGGAGATGCGTTTCACGCCACCACGACGTGCCAGACGCCGGATGGCGGGCTTCGTGATACCCTGGATGTTATCACGCAACACCTTCCTGTGACGCTTGGCGCCTCCTTTTCCCAGACCCTTTCCACCTTTGCCACGACCAGACATTGTCTAACCAAAATGATCAAAAGCCCAAGCCAGAGGCTACGACGAGTAAGCAAGACGCACAACAGAAACCGCGCTCCGCTAACGAAGGGACACGTCCGCGGCTGCTGCTATTTGTACAATGTGTGTACCGACGCTGCCCTTGTGTTAGCCAATCAACACGTCACGTCGCTTTACTCCAACAATTTATTCTACGTCTTAATTTCATTATTTCTACACACATCAATTAATTTATGAACGGTTCCACTTTTAATAAGGTTTTATTTCAATTAATATTTTTGCCTTTAATGGGCATTACACGCATGCACACTAAAACTTGTTTATTTTGTGTATTATATAATAACAAATATAAGTGAATGAATAGACGATACAGGCAATTAATATAAAAGAATAGATGTATGATAAAAAATCAAAAGAAAACATAGCAAAAAGCTACTAATAAATATGCCAATGTTACACAAATCGATAAGGCTATCTGCTCAGCATATTTATTTGCCATCTACCTAAATGGCAGAGAGACTAATCAAAGTGGTGGTAGGCGCGTCGACCTGTGGGTGATTGGGTTAGTGTGCGACTGTGACTGGCAAAGCAGGAAATATTTTGGATGAAATGGTACAGCACCCTTCGTACAAATAATTTACGCGCAAGCCAGATGCTATTGTCAGTACGAGAAAGGCGGAGTGGTAGAGCAATAGCAGGGTAGGATAGCAATAGCGAACTAATGAATTGTGCGAAGTGGTCGGACTTCTCCGTAGCCAATAGGAAGTGTGCCTCAGTGGGACAAGTGGTGGTTATAGGTATGCCGAACATATATATTCAAGCCGAGTAATACGCTTTATCTTTCGTCATCAGGGAAGTCTCGCGATCCCACATTGGTGTTAAAGGAACGCGATTTCGATCCCAGAGAACATCTGTCCTGATTATTACTGCTTCGTGATAAAACTTAGCGGAGCGGAAGAAGTACCCATGCCACGGATGGGAGAATGCTGACCACAAACAGAAGTGCTGAATTTGATGTCTACCTTTGGCATCTACTCCAGTGCCGTGTTCTGTAGGAAAGGTATTAACAACCAAAGCGACAATAAGGGAGAATCATCTGGTAGTTTTGTTACAGGCTTCTCCCGCTGGGAGGCGGCCCTCGGGCTATTCCGGTAGCAAAAATACCTTCTCCGTGCCGAATGTTACATTCACTCCGAATACCATGTCTTCTTTCGTCTTGAGGGAAGTCCCAGGATGCTACATATGTGGTGATATGAGGCTTGAATGGGTAGCGGATGAATACACAGTAAAAAAGGATTTGCCGGTTGTATGGTCTTGAGGGAAAAAGTTTTCGCAACAGTTTTTGTGACTAATATGGCTACTATTCCTAATTAACTGCCTTTTGTTTCAAGATATTTGCATTTGCGATTATGCATCACAGTAGACAAATAAATAACCTACAAATGCCTTTCTTTTCCATATTTATTACACGGCTATAACGAAG